TGTGCTCCTGCCCTCTGAAGATGCCGGTCACAGATGCTGGCGAAATGTTAGGAACCAAAACATGGCCACACAGCCCGGAAGACCCACACCAGCAACAATATGGACATTCTTTGCCATTGCCTTCTTCCAAGACGTTTTTTTCAACTTCCCAGTCTAGCTACAGCCTTGGGATTTCCTGGTCGTCTCTCACCCAAGTACTAACCTAGACTGACCATAAGTAATTTCCAAGGCTAGACAAGCTCAGTCAGATGCTATAACCCACTGAGTCATGTGAAAGTTTACACTGAAAATGTAAATTGAAATGTGAAAAAGTTAAGTTAAACAAGGATTTCACTTACAATTTCTTGTTGATTTTATATGATTCAGATATACTCACACCCGAGAGGGTTCACACTATGGTGAAAGTGGGAATCAAGTTAATTTTCATTTATGCATCTCAAAGGCTTTTGAGTTAATATTCCTTAATATTAACTTGCACATACTGTATGTTTAATCAAAAGTCTTTGAACAGTTTTGTTTATGCTTGATTTTAAGAGGAATACTTTAGTGAATTATTTGGATTCTGAGAAAATTTGATTTAGCAGGTCAAAACCTGTCAAAAACACTTAACACATTCTACAGAAATGACTTCACAATTTGGACTGCTCTTTCATTAATGGATAAATACAAGAGAAAGCAACCTTTAAGTTAATTGGTCCACTGGCAGATGTGGGCAGATTGTGGCTATACGTGGCTTCCAAAATTCCCCTAGATTTTCAACCCGATTTGGAGTCATTTTAACAAGAGGGAAAAGCTTAAAGGATGAAATGGGCACCATAAGCTGCGTAGGGCCTTCATTTAACTTCTTAAAACCTTCCCAAATTTGAGTCAGTTTTCCAATTCTGGGGGCAAGGAGCAAAACAGGTACCTGAAATTTCTGGAAAAGTTAAGGCACCCATTTTGCCCCTTAAACCGTAATCCTTCAGGAAGGGCAGAATCTTTACCCCACCTCACTCCAGGGCCTTCACACCATTGACCATCACTCTCTGCAGCCCTGGGAAGCTAAGCTCCTCATTAAAACATGTAGCTTTCTCTGCAAGAAGTTGTCCACCTCTGCATTAAGGGGTGCAAAGATGGAAATAAGGCTTTAAGTTAGGTATGGAGCCAGTGCAACTCAATTACTTTTCTTCATTTATTTAACAGATGTATATGGATGACCATTTTATATGCCATAACCCAAAATAAAAACATTAAAAAAACCCACCATAAAACTGTAACAAAACCTCCTGGCACCCCAGAAGGAAACATGCCTCCATACATCCACGTTCAATTTCACTGGGCCCCAGCCTCCCCCGACTTCTCCTATCTGGGGGAAGAGCCAGCTCTTCAAGGCTTGCTAGGAGGGTAGGGGCTTGCCAGATCCTAAGGGGAAGCGTGTTCCACAGGGCAGGGGCCTCTATGGAAAAGGCATGCTTCCTGGATTCCACCAGATGCAACAATTGGTGGCTCCCAGTTGCCCGGGGTCATTGGGAATTGGGCAGCATACAAGTTTCATAATAAAAAACATTTAAGGGAAAGGATTTGGAGGGTGCCCATCCTATCTGATCTAGTAGGACAGGGAGAGGCAGTCTTGAAAATAACCCGGCCCTGTGCCATACAGGGCTTTAAAGAGGATAACCAGCATCTTGGATTGCACCGGAAAAGAAATTGGAAGCCAGTGCAGCTTGTGCAGCAGCAGTGTAATACAGGCAAACCATGGAGAGGTCACTTCTGCATTCTGGACTTCTGGATAGTCTTCAAAGGCAGCTTCATGTACAGTGTGTTGCAGTAATCCAGCTGGGAAGTGACCAGGGTGTGAGTGACTGTGAGCAAGGCCTCACGGTCAAAGAATGGGCGCAACTGGTACACAAGATGTGTACAAAGGCCCCCCAGCCACAGCTGCCACCTGCTCTTTGAGCAGGACCCCAAGTCCAGGAGGACCCCCAAATTGTGCACCAGTCCTGTCCAGGGGAGTGCTCCCACCAGCTAGAGTCAATTATGACATCACACCAGATCCAGGAGGACCAAAACCCCAGAGCTAATACCCCTTACCATAATGTTATCCTGTTCCAGTTAATGTTATGACCCTGCTTACACCAACTGCAATTCCTGGACTGTTTCAAAGGCATGCCACCCACTGCAATAGAGCTCCTATTTAGGATAAATGTGAGGAGCCTAACTTCATCCAATAGAGCTGCAACTGGTGAATCAACCAATATGTCCACAACAGTTCCCTGACCTTCTAAGACAGTAACAGATCACTAAGCCTCCTACTCCCACCCACTCAGACTCTGGACTGTATCCTTTCTGTCAAGCACAATGCTGCCCAGAGCAGACAGGACAAAATTATTATCTCTCACAATCCCGTATTACATTTATTCTAAAATTATCCACCCTCCCCATGACATTTTTGCCTAAAAATGATGTCTATACTTACGGCCTGCTAAATATTGCACAATTTGTTCCAGTGATTCAATGAGAGAATTCTGGGTTTGGAATGTGATTTGAGCCTTTGCAAACAAGTCAAATATGTAGCTAGAAATTCAAGCAGAAACATACTGTTAAGGAAGTATTTTTAGTACTGCCTTCCTTTCTCTGCAGGATGAAAACCATGCTGTTATTCTTCGCTTACAAAATCTGATTATCTTTTTTTTTTTTTACTTGCCACAAATGATCACTGCACCACCCACAATTGACACTGACATTGGGTTCAAAAAGGAAAAAGGGAGGGAGACAAAAGAGTAGACTTTATAGCTGTGTGCCTAATTGGATGTACAAGATAGCAGAAAGCCCCATCTCATTTTGAACACTGCATCTAGTCTTAAAACAAACTATTATGAAATAATTTCAGATTTAAAAATACGCCAGTTGCAATGAGGCTAGAATTCAGTCTAGAGTTATTAATCTTAGCTCTGGGTCAACAAGAGGGAAGTCAATGTTTTACACTCATAGGCTTCAGCCTAACTTCCCTCACAAGTTGCTGTGAGGATGACATGTGCAGAAGGAGGCTATCAGCTATTGCCTGGAGTTCCTGAAGGGAAGGCGGGATACGATTATAATAAATGAATAGAGTCCTTCAAGAATAAAAACAACTCTTTCCAAAGCTTTCAATTTCTTAAGTCTCCATAAAAATAAGGACTAGAAATCTTTTTCTAAAAAGCAAAAGCTTAAAGAAAGTTCTCTTATTTTATAGTCCTCACCTTTTTCTTTTCTGGAAACCGAGAATCCAAGGCAGAATGCACTGGTCTTGCCCCCCCTGCTGTAGCAACACCACCCCCATTTAATATTAAATG